TTGCACATGAAACGGTGTACGATAAAACTTCAGCAGGAACACTAACAACTGCTCGTGCCATCTGGGAAGGCCAAGCTCAGGAGTCAAAGTGGATAAGTATTCTGCAAAATATTTGGCTAGGGAGCTGCTACACGGTGGATCCAGAAACTAATGTAAATCCACCGCATATCGATGTAAGATTATATTTTTGCACTATTAATGCTAGCTCAGATTCATCGATTTATTGTCTGAGAGCACAGACGCAAGTTTATCACTTTTAGCAAAAACAGTCTGACATGAATTCCCTCGTCATGCCATGCTCAAATGTGGATGAAATGGACACCAATGCAGACGCACTTGTGAGAAATATTGCAACATATTTATAAATAGCAGCGACCGCGGATGTTGTGGGGGACATCGTGAAATTGTTATTGTAGTAACAAGCTCATGTACGTTTTTGTTCTGATCAATACAGGAGGATGGTGATGGAGATGATGAACGTGGGCACTGTGGACAACGTGAAGAGTTAGGGGAAGGGTCAGCTCCTGGCGGTGAATCACCAATGGACACTTCAAATACAGAGTATGCATCCAAGAGTACAGAAGGTGAAGATACATGTGTGGGAACAGACATTTACCCAACGGCCCCTTACAAAGGGGGATGTAGGATGATTTTGAACGAATTTGCAACCAAGAATGATGATAACCAGATTTCGTTTATTGAACATGTATTTGCCCAAAAGGCGCTCGTCCTCCAAAAACTAATTCACTTAACGGATTCGTTGAAATAATCCTTGTGGGCGGGATGACTATCCACCAAGTAATGTACGCATCTTTCCAGAACAAGATCTTCTCAATCATACAAGAGAAACAAACTACGCAACGCAAAATAAAAAATTTCTACTTTGTCCTCGGATCGAAACAAGTTGCACCAGATATGTTGTTTTCTGACAGCCAGATTACTAGTGACCATCTCGAAGGAATCTTACCTGCCGAGTCATTGACGTACTGCATAATTTTACTTCACTTCGGACACAATCAAGGGCAATTTCATCAAGCAGTTCAATCTTTTTCACTAATCCAAAATGTTCCACCCGGCAGTGACACGGTAGGCTATCTCCCAACCCCCATAAACGACGAAAAGATGAACCTTATAAACGAGTTCATTCAAGATGTCCTAATTGTTGGTCCTCCTTGTCCGGATTCTGAGTGTGGATATTTCTATTCCCTTCTCAGAGCTAAAGAACAGGTATTGGGGGAAGGTGAAATGCGAATTCCTTTATCTGATGTTCCTAGACGGAATGATGGAACCAAACCTTACCTTAGTCTTTCGAGGTGCAGTCCTACGAGTTTTCCTATGCAACAATTAGCCTTTGAAATTGAGAAAGCAACACCGAAAGCGAAAAACGACTGTAAACAACCAAATACTAAACTCCCATTCCAACTACTTGGTGTTTCACTACAGGCGACAGCTCAAAAGTTAATTGTCAACGCCAAAGTATTCTTTGACAGTAACCAGGTACAGTGTGAAATACTAACAGGAAACTCTGTCACCAAAACTAGCCAGATTCTAGGAATTGGAGAGAGAACAGTTTATCAGACAATGGAGAATTACAAAACGAATAGTATAAAAACACCTGGTAAGAAACGTATTAGACCAACGCCGGTGATGGATCAGTTTGACGACTTCCGAACTGAGCACGTTAAACGAATCATTCATCAATTCTATGCTAATAATCAAGCACCAACAATGCATAACGTATACACAAAACTGATGGAGGAAGTCAAGGAAGAAGAAGATGGTCGGATAGCCCGAGGAGAAACTCTTACAGCGTTCAAATGTTCCAAGTGGACGTTAAGAAAACTCATTAAGCAATTAGGATTTAGATTCAAAACTGTTGATAAGCGAGCAGTTATCCTCATGAGATCAGACATCGTGCAGAAGCGATATGAATATCTGTCCGTAATGATTAAAAATCGTCAGTCCGAGAACCCAAAATGTGTTGTCTACACAGGTTTGGCTGATTAAATATCAAAAATGTTTTAATTTAATTTAATATAATTATTAATGCATTATATTTATTCAGATGAAACGTGGGTCGATAGTTATGCTAGAACTGGAAAAGGCTGGGTTATTAATTCACCAAAGTCATTTCATGAAGCGGCTTTATACTCCTTCCAAAACCCGAAAATTTCTAGAGGACCACGTATCATTGTGATGCATGCAGGTGCAGTTCAACTATCCACATTAAATAGGAAATTATTTCAAAATAATAATTATCTTCACAGGTGGAGAGGATGGATTCGTACCTGGCGCTATGAAGGTATATCCAGTATCAAAGAAGAAAGTCCAGATGGATTACCACGCAAACGTTAACGGTGTCGCTTACATGGTTTGGTGGAAGGATCTTAATCAAAAGATAAAAGATAATTATGGTCCATGCATAATTGTTATTGATAACGGTATTATCATCCAATAATTTGTATTTGTAAATTCCATTTTAATTTGAATTTCATTTATTTAAATTTGTCAGCTCCGTATCACAGCACCAAGGAAGCCCCAAAATCTACATCCCGAAAACAAGAGCTATACGACTGGCTGAATGATAATTTAGAGGGCCCTGAAAAGCTGAAACTAAAACCTGTAAAGCAAATGAGACGACCTGAATTATGGAAAATGGTTCAAGACCTTAAAAACGGAAATGAATATTACATTGTGGATAAGGAGGCATTGAAATATGGAAACACTGTTGTCCGGTAAAGTTATTTTCTATTCATGGGTAATTTACTAATAATTTGTAATATTTATTTAAACACTGTATTTACGTATTTTCCAGATTACCCCCATATAACTGGTAAGAACTGGTAATCATAGGTAACGGTAATAAGAATATTCATGTAATAACTATTTTTAGCGACTTGAACCCAATTGAGTACGTGTGGAAAGACATCAAGCACGCAGTTAGGGCTGCAAACACACAGGGGACCGCTGAGTTTGCACAAGCTGAGGCTGAGAGAATTATGACAACATACACAAAGGAACAATGGCAGAAACACATCAAACATGTGCACCGGTTCGTAAAACCAAGATTCGCTATTATGGGAATAATTCGCAATTTCTACATTATTATTGTAAATAGATTGGAGGACGAGTATTGGAAAAATGATGGACATTTTGATGACTTCCATGATGACTTCCAAACACGTGTAGCTTCAGCCAACCCCATTCGAGTGAGTTCTTGGTGACAGTAAACTATTAGTAAAAAAATACATAACTTATACATAATATACAGATTACAGCAGCAGATGATGTGTCTGACGACGAAGATGAGGACCCTGACGATGTTGACGAAGTAGTTGATAGATTCCGAATGCAAATACACAATGATATTGAATACTCACAGGCTGGGGAAGAAGAAGACTTGCCTGAAGAAGAATGTGCAACTTCTAGGAGGAGATTAACCTTCCCACCAGAATCAACCTAGATTTTAACTTCAATGGATTCAATACATAATAAATATTATAAATAGTGAATCCGATTTGTACATAGTGTTAAGAATTATTATTCATTAAATTTGTACGAAATTTTCAAAAATATGCCTACCCCTCTCTACTTAACATTCTTGCAAAACTGAAAACTTTAAAATAATGTCCCGTTTAGTAAAATACAATAAGTTATTATTTGACCCTTCAGGGGCCCTTAACTCTTGACCTATACGTCACAAAAACCAAAAAATATTTTTCTGATTCCCCTGGTCCAGGGGATTAATTTGATACCCCATTCACCTTAGTTACCATGGTTACTATGTTGACCCTTCAGGGACCCTTAACTGTTGCCCGATAGGTCAAAAAAATTCAGGAAAATATTTTTATGCTTGCCCTTTGCCAGGGGATTAATTTGATACCCCACTTGCATGGGGTTACCATGGTTACTATTTTGACCCTTCGGGGGCCCTTAACTCTTGACCTGAGGGTCAAAAAAATCTAGAAAAATATTTTTTGGGTTCCCCTTGTCCAGGGGATTAATTTGATACCCCACTTGCCTTTAGTTGTGAGGGAATGATATTTAACCCTTCAAGGGCTCCTAGTTCACGACTCAAGGGTCATAAAAATTTATAAAAATATTTTTCTGGTTCCCCTGGTCCAGGGGATTAATTTGATACCCCATTTGCATGGGGTTATCAGGGAACGCTATTTGACCCTTCAGGGGCCCTTAATTCATGACCCAGGGGTCATAGAACGCTAAAATAATTTTTCTATACTATTCCCATGCTAGACTTTTATTTTGGACCAGTTTGGAGGAAAAAATTTTTTTGACCGGTGACGTCGTGAAATTAATGCTACAAAGCGGTGTAATAAGTCTGCAGGGTTAGAACTTCATCCACAGTATGGTAGTGCATCTTTGTATGGTCCATATATTGTATGAAGGTTTAATTAACATAGCGCCCTTTACGTGAACCGAGTCAGGGTAAAACGTGATGAGAGTTGATTATGTTGCGCTAAGAAAATGATGGTATAAGCCGATTAACATTCACACCCATCTCCAAATCTGAACAATGCAAAGCGATCGGAATTTTATTTTATTGAAATTAGAAATAAATTGTATATGTAATTGTCATGAGCAAGTAAGTAAGTTTAAACTGAGGGCGAAAGTTGGATCCCGTCCCATCCCTCCCTCCTGGCAACCTATCCATCGCATAAGGTGGGGTGCTGTTTGTTTCCACAATATACAGTCCAGTCGAACTTGAAAAATAAACAGTATTTATACCTATACGAAAATGGCCAGGCGAAAAATTGACTACATATATTTTCCCCAAATATTTCAGCAAGAGTTTGCAAATAAATTTCTGCAGTAGAGTTCTGCATAAACATATATGCATAAGTCTGCAGAATGCTACACAACACTCATGCAGAACGGTATCCTGAAGAAATTTGGGCCAATTTTTGCCAGTCCATTTTCATCCGGGTAGTATAGCTTTTCCCGTAATTATTTAAAAATAAATACTATAATGCTTTAACTAACTATCTCGACGTGTACTCCCCCATTCCAATGTGGTTCTGGCATTCACACGTTTCCATAGCTAGGTTCCACATATTAGCGCAGGTGCAAGCCTTGAAATACATGGATTTATCAATCGACACCGTCAGAACTTGATGAGCTCTTGAATGGCTGCATGTGCCTAGATTTAGAAAATCCTTTTGAATCGAGTTCTAAATTTATGTAAATGCTTTAAGAGAAACTTACTATGCGGTACAGGAATCAGAACTCCTTTAATGATAATAAAAAATGGGAAGCAACCTGGTTGGACTGGGGCAACACCGTTTAAATAAAAGTCTGCCGTTCCAACGGGATCATACACTCCGAAGCCGGATGGATTAGAATGGATCACATGAACAACGTCGGCATCATCGGGAGATAAACGATCCTCATTTTTCGCTCCAACCAAGATATTGCAAATGTTTGAAAATATATCGCCAAAACATGGAAGTGCGGGGTCGAGGGCTTATATAAAATTCAAGAGTAAAAAAAATCTAAAAAATCTAAAAGTGTGCAAATATATGTACCTGTAATTTTTGTAAATTTTCCTCCTCCAGGATTAGCCTTAGAAAACCGATCTGACGCAATGCCACATGTCTGTGCTCCCAAACTGTGTCCAATGAAGTGCATATCTTCCAACTTAGCCTTTCCGTTATTAATCATCCAAGTGATAAATTTTACAACTTGGTTAGCAACAACGTTCGTATTTTCGGCAGCGTTCCCATAAAATTTGAACCCCTGACTGTCCACGACTAAGCGTGCTCCTTTCTTCCAATCAACGAGGATAAGATTAACGTTTTGCTGATTAAAGTGTTGGACATAGGCTGAAAATTAATATCCGCGGTTTTTAAGATGTTGTATAAACTTGAATTGATTATGGTGTGATTATTAAAAGGGAATCAAATTGTTATTCAAGTTTTAAGCAGTGGGTAAATCTATGTTATAAATTATAAAAGTCCGTCACGTTGAAATTTTCCAGAACGGCATTCTGGTTGGTGGTAGATTTTTAATTGGCCAATCAGGAATTGTTTCCTAATTGTTTGGGACACAAGTAGTTGTGGAGAATTTTACACAAATTCCTGACAGGTGACATTATTTTTTTAATAATGAAATATTTAGGGGTATATGAAACTGACATTTTCTTGGTGGTTGCGATGCGTCGTTAAGAGTGAATATGGAAAATTGTTAGTCCTGGGGACGACCGGAGTAAACCTGTCACATCGTATCCAGAGAGGTGCCAAATCGATTGATCTAGACCACATTCTTAGTTTGAAACACTATAGAACTTACAATGCGATGCCACCAGCGGTCTCGCTCCGATTTTAACGACACTACGTAATTATGTAGATTTACATAAACAATTAGACACATGTTTCGGATTTTTTCATAATGCTCAGTTTGAACGAAGTTATATGAGTGAGCGAAAATTGACATTTTTCCCTGGCCAATACGTTGACCTTTGCTTGCATTTTTTCTCTTTTTTCCTGACTTTCGCGTCTCGCAACTTTGACTTTGAGAATAATTCTCGAAATCAGAATTGAAAATACAAATATACAAAATAAATATGTAACTGAAATTAAAACAAATTGAGTTATGTTAAATTAACGGTAATCGTTATTTTGCTAGATAAATTATTAAATTTAAACCCTTTTTTAAATATTAGAAGGAAAAAAAATATTCTCAACGGCAATAATTTATTATTTATTAAATAAAATAACAATTGTCATTAACTTTACATTACTCAATTTTTTCTAATTGCAGTTACGTATTTATTTTGCATATTTGTATTTTCAATTCTGATTTCGATAATTATATTCTCAAAGTTGCGAGAAGCGAAAGTGAGGAAAAAAGAGGAAAAATGAAAGCAAAAGTCAACGTATTGGCCAGGGAAAAAATGTCAATTTTCGCTCTCATACCACTATAACTTCGTTCAAACTGAGCATTATGAAAAAATCCGAAACATGTGTCTAATTATTTATGTAAATCTACACAATTACGTAGTTTCATCAAAACCGGAGCGAGACCGCTGGTGGCATCGCATTGTTAGTGGGATATGAACTAGCTGTCAAATTCACGAAAACTGATATTTTGGAGATATTTAAATTATATTTTCCAAAATATCTCCCAAATATCAGATTTTCTTGAATTTCGCATCTAATTATTATCCTACAAAATCCTATATATCAAATTATCGCGTGATCAAGATTTATCGCTTGAAACCTCTTTGGACGGGATCACTTGACCTGGATCATCTTCAGGAACATAACTACATATTTGCGCTTCAAGGAGTATGGAATGATGGGGGACGGGGAGGGTGTGTAAGGGGGCATAAGGGGGGGCAAGGGGGTATGAGACTCCCATTGGGAGTATGGATTTTAAAGCATTCCTTAGCAACATTAAAAAATTCTTAGCAACCTAGAAAACATAGCCTAGCAACGTTAGTAACAATGTTTGCCAGCATTTAAAAAAATCTTTAAAACCTTAAAAATATCCTCGGCAACGTAAACGTAATTGCCACCCGTGTTTAAGACGGGCTTCTATGATAGTAGTTTGATAAAACTGATTAATTTTACAAATTGTAGGATAAGTACCAGTAAGCAATCCGAGCAATTCTTATAAAAATATGTATGACCACGCCGTGACTCGAAATACTAAGGATCTCGCAATTCGATCTGAATCGTCCTAGCATTTGACCAATTTTTTTTCGGAAATTCACACTTTGTTGGATAATTCCCAGTCACAGTGGGAATTACTATGAAAAACTGTGAAAAACATGAAAAATTGTGAAAATGCTAACTTATCGCGTTTACAAATGCTGTCTCGTTTAAAACTAGTTTTTAAATTATAATTTCTAGAAATAAATATTTTTAAACAATCTGCTTTTAAAATTGCATTGACAAAATATATTTAGGAGTGGCATTGCGAAATTTGTATCAATTACACAGTTATTTCCAGTAGTTTTTATGATTTTGTTCATTTAAATTTGTTTAATTTTGCCCCAAAATGATTTTTACAGTGAGGTCAGGTGGTTATTACCGTTAATTACGGTTAATTACCGGGGGTAAATCTCACCCGGAACCCTCACTACCATGTATCTGCCATTGCTCTTTTATCAACTGGTATCTTACTCTCCGACAAAATGGCGGAGTAACTGAATTGCAGAGAGTATGGATTTCTCTTCATTCCTAAAAATTAAGCTAATCCTTATTGTTTAAGCAGAGTTAGGAAATCTAGTGATGATTAGGCTAATCACGAAGATCTGTTGAAGTGTTATAACTTGTAACTTTCAAGCTAAACATTTTTCCGCTTTAATGGTGAATGAAAGGTTGATGCCTACCGTTTTTGGCCCCTTGAGGAAAATCTTTTGAATCATAGGAGGATAGAAACCCATGCACGAGGAATTTTGTGGGTGAATTTATATCAAAATTGGTCCAGTTTCCATTTGAGGTGTTCATAGAAAGTTTAGATTCAGCAGGGCTCCTCCTATTCATGTATTTACATATTCAATCATTAACTCATTGAGAGACGTATATGTTCGTTGATGCAGTTAAAGTAGTGTTCGCAAATTAGGACCGGACAGGACCGATAAGCTTTGTCGGTGTACGGGCCGACAAAGCTTATCGGTCCGGTCCGGTCCTATTTTGAGAACACTAACGATAAGTTAAAGATTAACCTTGTATATAAGTAGAAATGGATGTCACTCTCCAACATGCTCGAAACTGTGTTGGGTGCTTTTGTTAGATACACCTGGACGGTCTTGTTACCATCATCTTCATCAATGTAGTAAAAACTGTCCTGCTCTGGATCCGCGCCTGGGAAGAAAATTGTTATCACAGTGCTTATAATATTATTGCAATTTTCGGAGTGATATACGTTACGATTTTTGGTACAAACGCTATGCATACTAGTAATTTTTTATTACCGATGCGGTAAAGTTTATCGCCGATATGGTGGAGTTTATTTCCAAATCCTTACCATATTGTAGTACATACATGTGATTACCAAATTCCAGAGCCATATACGTTACGAATTTGTAGGAAATCATTACAAAATTATTATAAGTACAGATTATGGAAAGTCCGTTTGAAAAATTTTGATTAGTATACCATTTGAAATTAAGGAATGGATTTGTAACTGTATTTATAACACAAACATATAAGTATATAATAGAGAGGTTGAAATTGGTGTATTCTAGCTAAATTCGACAAATATCTGTATTGTGACGATGACTCATCCAGGCTACAATATAATACAGCAAGCTAAATGAAGCCCCTGTGTTGCGGCGAGGCTTAAGTTTAATAAACCGTTGTAACGTTAGAAGTAGCTCACCCTGTAATAACCATTTTGGTATAATTTTATACCAATGCTACTGAATATGCGGAGAAAATGAATACGCAATTTTGGCAAAATTTTACATTAATGGTACAGAATATGCGGAACAAAGATATATGTAATTGGGATATAATTTTGCACCAATGGTGCAAAATACACGAGGGAAGAGAAACCATGATTTTGACATAAAACCTTAAAAAATTTGACGTCAAAATCATAACTGTTTGTGACGGTTCTTCTGCACTTTTGGTGCGTTTAGCATCTATTTTCTCAACTGTTTCGCACCATTTTGAGTCTCCGATTCTTCGATATCACTGGTGCTAATAAGTCGGTCAGGAATGCCAATAACTGGCTCTAATTAGCATCAATTGATGCAAAAGAGTCGTTAACAGACAGACGGACAGACGGACGGACAGACAGACGGACAAGAGGAATTCAATAGCTCCTCTGCTACGCAGGGTGAGCTAATAATGGTTAATTTATGCGTAAAAGTCCCTGTAGTTTTTATACGGCTATTTGGTTAAGAATTAAGCATAATGGTCATATGAGTTTTCTGGAAAAGCCACGATTCAAATCGTGTAGGGGGGAGGTCCCTGCGCCCCCAGAAGCGGCGCGGAGTTTGAGCGACCGCTTTCTGACGGGGCTGGCCTTTCTCAGGCATTTTAAATGCCTAATTCAGGCGAGATATTTATTAAATATTTCAAATCTTTTCGTTTTTTTCGCCAATTGGCTTGGAACTATCGGGATCCTACTAATTATTTTTGTTTCCTTGGGTGGGACTACTTGGTCCCTCTTCGCGCTCAAGGCCCCACACAGCTATGTCCACAACCGAACCTCTTTCTTCGCAGCCGCCGCGGGACGACTCCTCACCTGCGCCACGTCCACGCGGTCGACCACGAAAATCGATTCTTGATTTCGCTCGCTCTGCCATTGGACTAGGTAGAGACGAGCCTTCTTCGACTGAAGTGGCGACACCGGCCCCAATTTCCGACGTCGAACCCCCTTCCACTTCAGACTCGTCACTCATCGTCCCCCGTCCATGCCGATCGTTTGTCGCGCCCACTTCTCCGGTGTTACCAAAAACGACACCTACCCGGCCGCCCGGGAGTGGGTCCGCACGTCCATCGTGGCTGTCGACCACAACACCCAACCTCAAGTTCGGCTGAAAAAGGCGGACGTTTTCACCCGCTACTCAATTTTTGTCTCTCAGAGCGGGGAGGGTGGAGTCACCGAGGCCACCCTCGACAATTATATTCAGTTCTTCCCCGACTCCACGACTCGTCGCGTTGGAGCCAGACGAGAGTCACACTACTGCTACGAGGGCATCCAGTGGGCGGATGCACCTCCAACTTTACCTCAACAACAACAACAACACGACTGGGGGGAAATCCTCGCTCGACTCAAGACCACCACTCCCACCTTACGAAGGGTACCTCGGGGTGCGAGAAGGCCGGTGGTGCAGTGCCTCACCAAGATTCTGGAGCAAATTACGGAGTCAAACGATGAAGAAAGTTGAGGAAAGCTGTTGCTCTTCCCTTATGCAACACTCCCCGTCCTTCAGAAGGAGGACCGTGTCAAGAATTTGACCACTTGGGTCAAGAACAATACAGATTTATGGGGAAAGAGCGGCTTCTCAATCCCTCGTGCCCTCCCACCGCGCCCACCTTCCAACAAACCTCCACTTGACATGACGGCGAAGAAAGTGGAGGCGAAACTCGCCGACGGCGACATCAAGGGAGCGATCCGCCTCGCATGTTCCGACGACACCATCGCGCCGTCTGACTACGAAACCCTCGTCCATTATGACGCCACTCTAAAGGACGCGCTCGAGGGGATCCTAAACTGTACTCTCTAGGAGGCTGCGTGGATGCAGTCCTCCCTACCCGTGAAGGAAGGCGGTCTCGGGGACAGGCACGCTGTGGATGTGGCGATACCGTGTTTTCTCGCGTCCGCCCACAGCGTCCTGCCCCACGTAGAACGTCCCCTTCCCGGCCATCTCCATGGCAACGACATCGCCATGGCAGAGGGGGTGCAGCGTTGGACGGATCTCGGGCTGACGGACCTCCCACCTGAAACCGTCAGAGGAGTCCAAGCGGCGTGGGAGCGTCCCATTCTGGACAAGACTTTGTCCCATCTCTCCGATTTGGCAGTTATCCCGGAGGATATTGCCCGACTCCGTTCTCTGCGCAACAAATACGCGGGGGTGTGGGGTGCTCCACCACAGACGGCAAGTGTCCTGATGGAATGACGCTTGTGCCTTGGGCGAGGGGGAGGTCCCTGGTGTGGGACTTTACCTGCGTGAGTGAACGTTAAGTAAGTAGTAAGTAAGTAAGTAGTAGTCGAGCAAGTCAGCAATTACAATTTTATATTCATGGTAATCCTGCCTGGGAATCGCATTGATAGTGATTAATTAGGTTTACACACACTCACACAGGTATGCGTGTATATAGAGATATGTAACAAATATCAGTACTTGTCAAGTTCCTGATAAAATAATACCTAATAAAATCCTGCAAAAAGTGGAAGATAACATAACTTCATTGTAATGCAAGATTCTTATTATCCGATTAAATTCCCATTATCATGAATTAGTAGAGGACAGATGAACTGAGTTGTAAATCCTTACGTAATAGGTTTATTATGTAACTTATTATATAATTATGTATTATGTATTACGCAATTAAGTTAACATTAGAACAGTGAAGTAGTAATGGTGGAGATTAGGTTTGGGCACAAATTATTTCCAAGTGACGAGGTAAATTTGTTCCATAGAAATTTTCATATTTTATACAATTCTAAACGTATCTTAATGATATGTGAGGAAAAAACCCAAAGTGAATGGAGATTTCACTACTGTGAGTGAAAGGAAATTTGTGGATGGAGATGGATGGATTGAATTTTTAAGCAAGTATTTATGGATGTACACGCAGGTATGTTGCTTGTTGCAGTGTGACGTGATGAATTATCCTAAAAAACTCCGTGTCCTAGATATATACGTACATATGCAAACGGTGAACACATATTTATGTGTGCACAATCTTCGGAAAATCCTTACCGGAATCATGACCCCATATATCTAAAGCATGGTCAGGAGTGTCAAGCGAGATTTTTAGTGTAAACAATTTTGCAAAATTTTAAGGTTTGGCGCATGCACTGCTCCTGACAAATTACTGATACTATCGATGGTTCCTTTATCGAAGATATATATGACTTATTATACATAGGATTATCTTAATGATTTTGTTTTGTGTATAACTATCATACATGGGCCAATTACATGTAATCCAATTACGTAATTGGATTATAAAAAATGTAATTGGTAATGTAATTTGAACATTCTCTAAAATTGTAATTGGTAATTAGTAGGGATGCAACGAGTCCTAATTTTTGAAACCGAGTCGAGTTCGAGTACTCGGCAAAATTTTGGACCGAGTACTCGAACTCGACCGAGTTCGAGCACCCGGTAAAACTCGGTCATCGAGCGCTCGAAAAACCGAGTTATTTCTCATTTTCTCCCCAAAATACGGCAATCGTAAAGTGCATTTTCACTTACATAATGTCAACAACTTACATAATGATAAAAAGGCGTTAATATAAAGAAAATGTACCAAGATAATTATTTTTACATTCTCGATTTTATGGAAGATATCGAAATTTGGAGTAGAGCTCCACATTTATTTCGTGGTATTTACTTGTTTTGCCGTAAAATATTAATGACAAAACTCGGCCGAGTTCCAAAGAAAACTCGGCCGAGTTCGAGCCCACAAAAAATGCGCCGAGTTCACCGAGTACCGAGTCTAATCGAGTACTCGTTGCATCCCTAGTAATTAGTAATTGGTAACTGAGATTTTCAAATAAATGTAATTGGATTACTCCAAATTACCAATTACATTGGAAAAGTGTACATCGCCAAACAAAATGGATTTGTGCACTATCGAACAAACATAACCACACTGTTTCGTGCTATTTTGCATTATTTTGCGCTATTTTACGTAAAATTTCCATTTACATCTTACAATTAATTATTTATTGCAAATTTTTGGTGAATTTTATTTGCTGCATAGACAATTCAATTTAGTAAAAAAATAAACGTGCAAATTGTATCTATCAAATTCCGTTTGAATTCATCCTACACAATTCCAGAACAAAATTTAAGTATGGCGGAGATTGTGAAAATTCAATACTATTTAATTCGGTTACTTTTGAAGCTAAAGAGGAAAGCTTGTCACAGTTGTCACTCACAGAATTCGATGCCCTTTGGATATGTTGTAGTATCCCATGAGTGTACTAAATACCCCTAAAGTGGTTTGACTCCATGGTCATACTTGCACAGGCCACACCCACTCAAAAGTGCGAAAAACACGAAAATTATCAACTTCAAAAATTCACCAAAAAATCCAATTTTGATAAGATTTCCGAAATGTAAGCATTTTCGTGATCCTAGATAGTTGTTTTATAATATCCGACACAAAAATTAATTTTTTGAATTTTTTTTGAATATTTTCGATAATTTTCTGATCTTTGAAAAAATCAAATTTCAAAAAAGTTGAGTTTGGTATTGGATATGATAAAGCAACTATCTAGGATCACGAATATGCTTTAATTATGAAAATCCAATCAAAATAAGATTTTTGGCGAATTTTTTAATGAACCAAAACAGTGTATTTAGCACCTTTCTAAAATAAAGTAATTGGTAATTTGAAATGTAATCCAATTACTTTAATTGTAATTTGTAACTTGGCCAGTTCAATGTAATTTAATTGGGAAAGTTATCCAATTACCGAATTTCGAGTAATTTGTAATTGGTAATCCAGTTACATGAATCAATGTAATTGGCCCATGTATGATAACTACATATCGTCGTTCTACCGTTCTACCAAGTAGAGCTAATGCTCTATTTGGAATAAAGTGCAGTGAATGCTTAATTATAAATAGAGCTAACTGCACAATAAACACTATAGTTAAAACAAGTGCAATTAACTCCTTTTAAAATTAAGAACTTACGGCACTTAGCCTTATTTAAAATTAAGCATGCACTGCACTTAGCTCTATTTAGAATTAGAATGACGATATGTGATGAGTCAATGTAAGACACACAATGCGTGCATGTACGTATTGTGAATTTAACCTGTTGTGTAATTTCCCACTAAATGTGGGTACCACTTGTAGCAAACAAAGAAATAAAATAAGTAAGGCGACCACCAAAAAGAGAAGGGTGTGTGATACTAACTCACATTCTCTACTATCTAATTCACGATAATAATCTACCTTGATTACGCATTCATTCCTACATTTGACATCCATCCACTTCAAATGAAATAAAAACATGAGGAAGCGAAAAGGACAAATATCTCTTTATGTCCTACATATTTAAATTCTCACATTATGCAAATTGTGTAACTCTATGTTTGCCCCAATTTCCACACTTTTTTCACACTGTTAAAAGTGTTAATGCCAGTGCGAGTAAAATCTTATGCCGTGTGGGATTAAAAGTGCTCTTACGCCAGGCAGGGTTGCAGAGCTCGCGAAGGCAGAAGGGTAACGCAGTTTACTCGGAGCCACAAGCAGTTTACGCACACCTGGGTAAACGCATTCCGGTGGTAACAATGCTGAACAGGGTTACATTTACTGAGTTTCAGTTGGTTTAATTTACCCTGGATGGGGTCAATTGCAGTACTACTAAATATTAAAATGCAGTAAATGAAAGATAAATTTGGTTAATCGATTCGCATTCTAAAATATTTATCCCATTTATTAATTAACAAATAGGTTAATTGAATAACAAATACTTATGCAATTACAGTGTCGGACAGATGTCTACGTCCACATAGTCGCGTCAATTTCATTTTCAAATTGTCACTGAACTACTGAACCAATTTTCATCATTGATATATCAAATTCTCACAAATTTAACGTAATTTCATAGCACATTATTAGTTTTCCGCTAAAAAATTTATTTTAGGCCAGAGATGTATTTTAATTCAAAATGAAAACAATTGGATGGACAAAAATCAACGTCCAGTCAGA